TGGCAACTCCATCCATAGCACTGCAGTGGCATGAATTTCCGATCCGGGACGCCTGATGATGGTATTCTGCCTTGAGCCAAGCATTGCGAGATGGTATCGTGCATTCTATAGCCACAGCATCCCAGTTTTTGTGAGCAGGTGAGCCTTGTGAATGCTGATCGATGGGCGTGACATGGACATCAATTGGTTGTTGGCTTTCACAATGGCCGTTGGGCCTTCAAGGTGATGGCAGTGTCGGTGTGATTTGGCAGCTGAGTAGAGATTGCGTCAATTTGCACACCTGTCCAGAGAACAAGGACGTTGAAGATTGCTTCTTTAGGATGATGTGAGGTTGAAAAGGACCTCTGGACATACTCGTACTCGTATAGTCAATAGAGGTAATAGGCATGTTTCCTCATGCGGCATGCAAATTGGCACTAGTCCACATTCCCCCAAAAATCTCTAATAATCGCCCTTCCCTTTTCGTCATGCGCACAGGCTCGGTGAAGTACGTACCTCGGTTTGCGGGGTCCAGAGTCAAATCCACTTGTTCACTTCCAAGTTTCACAGCCAGGCCGAGCCTCGTCCTCTGGTGCTAGAGACAATTGCGATACTCACAAGGTGCCCCCTTTCTTGCTGTTGAGATACTCTTCCGTGCTTCGGACATCCAGAGCCTCTCCTCGACACCTCTCAATTCGTGTCTTCCGCACCATCACCAGCCACAAAGAACGACGTACAAGTGCCGAATTCGACTTCACCCGATTGTCAGGCACTGTGCGCTCGACTGTCTTGTCTTGGCTGGCATAGCCATTTACCAAAATGGCTGAACCGCCTCAGTCCTCAGATTCCAAGTCGCAAGCGACAACAGCCTCGCAACCAGAATCCTCTAGTCAAAAGCCTCCCGAGGCAGCCATAGATGAGGATTCAGATCCAGATTTCGACGACCTCGACGGTACGCATGCACGCGCAAGCATGATCTATGCTCCTGCCTCCCTAAAACCAGATGGTCATCGATGCTGACACGCTCCCCTCCTCTAGATGTTCTCGATCAATTCTCCGCCGCTACCTCTCAGCAACAATCAAAATCCCTCTCTTCAGAACCTGCCCCTTCGTCCTCTGGTCCAGGCAGACCGTCGACCGAGAAATCAGCCCTCCCACCGGACCTACACATCCCCTCTGGTCCTCATGCCTCGGAATCAGATGATGAATTCATGGCCCGGCTGACCGCTGAAATGTCCGACGTCATGTCTAAGATGTCGCTTGATCCAGCCGCCAGCGCTGCCACACCTGAGGATCTTTCAAAGATGGGACGCGAACTCGAGGAATTCACGCAGAAAATGGAGGCCGAGGGCATAAAACCCGAGGACCTCCTGAAGGCCATCTTGGGGGAAGATGTCGGCGGGAAAGTCGGGGATATGGCACACGCGGAAGCGACGAGGAGGGACAGTGAGTCCAAGGCCAAGTCGAAATCACGGAGCCCGGAAGTGACAGGAGGGACAGCTATAGGCCCGTCAGCATCAGCATCGACAGGGTCAGCGACCGCGGCGAAACAAGGGTCGAGCTCGTTCGAGGACACGATTCGTAAGACCATGGCGCGCATGGAGTCGTCCTCGGCTGCGGCGACGTCAGCGACAGCCAAGTCATCCCAGCAAAAGTCAGAGGAGGACATGCTGGCCGAGATGCTGCGGGCGCTGGAGGCCGAGTCCGGGTCGCAGTCGGACAGCGAGCTGTCCAAGATGTTCCTGGGCATGATGGAGCAGCTGACCAATAAGGACATGCTGTACGAGCCCATGAAGGAGCTGTCGGAGAAGTTCCCCGACTACCTACAGACGAACCAGCCGCCGAAACTAGCGCAGGCCGAGCACGAGCGCTTCTCGCGCCAGCACGTCATCGTGCGCACCATCGTCGCCAAGTTCGAGGAACCGGGCTACAGCGACGACGACCCCAAGTGCCGCGAGTTCATCTGGGAGAAGATGCAGGAGATGCAGAGCGAGGGCGCACCTCCGGACGATCTCGTCGCCAACCCCCTACCGGGTATGGGCGGATTGTTGGGAGGTGACGGAGGCGAGGGTCCGGAAGAAGGGTGTCCAACTCAGTAGGTGACGGGTGGTCGAGCCAGCCAGAGAGAGGGTGTATGGCTAGAAAGGTTTAGCAACTGCTATATATGGCCCGTTTGTTTGTGACGGTAGAAAGCGATGGATGAGCACAGGCTGCGCAGCCGACCACGACGCGTGGGGGAAAAAATAACAGAGGTTCAAAGCCTGACTCGTTTGAAAGGGAATGCTTTATTCGAAATAATACAGGACCGAGTACACCGTGGAGCAATCTGAGCAATATGTACCTGCCTAGGTAGTTCCGAGCTGTGCTCGTGATACCACATACACATTCTTCACTTGTATGTCCACACACTCTCTCTTATATCCCGAGAATCTGACGGACGTCAGTGGCCCGCAATCGAGCAAGTGATACAATGCAATGCATTAGTACCTCTGTAGGCAGGTTTAGGTATTTCGAGTATTCGGTAGAGAGGACTATTTTTCATATTAGGGGGCTTTAAAAGATATCTGTTATGAGAGGATAGAACGGTTTCGAAGAATTAGTAGCAGAGGAGGAGGTAGATGTGCAGGTGCAAGAGGAGAGAGACATGTTTGTCTTTCTCGGTCTATTGGGTGTTAAAGAGAAGCTGGTGACGAAGGGACTGCCTTCATAGTCAATGTCTTGACAGTATCGACATGTTTGACACCCTGGACGGCATCATGGCATCGTGGTGCCCCCCTCAAGACAGGCCCTCAACCTCACTCAATGCTGTATGTGTGTATCTATGTGTGTATGATTGTCCACGGCAAACGTGCCATTGCCAGACTGTGCTCCTCTCATAATGTTTCTACGGATGGGCGAATGCCACAATGTGACCTTGCATGATTACTCGGTACACCCGCAACAATTCTCAGCTTTCAGAGTCTGGTACCGCAATTTCTCCCAAAAAAACTCAGACATAATCAAGACAGATCCATCGTTTCATCATTAAATGTGTTCCCATGCTGCGGCAGCGGAGGCTCGCCAGGAAGAGAAGTCTGCGCTGTATGCAGACTCGTTTGACCGATGACTCGTTCATTTTCCGGTCGTGGCGGTTGAGACGCCAGTAGGTTTTGCGATAGAGGCTGCGAGTGCTGAGACAGGATCTCCATCTCTCTAAACAATCGCTCATATTCTTCGTCCTCGGCATCTTCGACCACAAACTCATCATCCTTCACCGTTTGGAGTTGCTCTTGCTCATATTGCCGTATCAACTCATCCACTTCGATATCTTCCTCGAATTCGTGCGTCGGGCTTAGCTCCGGTTCTTCTTCTTCATCGTCGTCATCGTCATCTTCGCTCTCCACCTCCTCTTCTTGAGCAGCCTCCATTGCAGCTCTGCGTGCCATTTCTCTCTCCCAGACCCTCCTCTCTTTGACAAAATCCATTCGCAACACCTGCTCGCCGACCTGTTCGGATCTGTCGTCGTCTCTTCTCCGCCGGATGCGATCTAGAAACTTCGACTTTCTTTGTTCTCGACTTCTGTTGGTTTGACTGTTTAGAAGAGATGACGGACTCGACGAGCGGGAGCGCAGTTCCCATTGTGACGGATTCTGATGGCCCGAAGTCGTCGAGATACTTGGGCGCGGGATACTGGCGAACGAGGTAGATGGAGAGGGATCGAAAGTTAATTGCTCGTGCGAGAAGAACTTTGAGCCGAATTTGCGGTTCGAGCCTGAATCAGGCGGCGAAATCAATGATACCTGCCCCTCGCATCCATATGTTCGGAAATCCAGCTTTCCTGTAGGTGTCTCCTGCACCTTCGAACGGAAGCCAGAGGCCGTCAATGTCTCAATTCCTTCCTCGTTCTCACTCTCCATGTTGTTCTCATCTTGATGCTCCGACAAACCACCCCGCAGAGGCGACGAACTCAGCAAGCTACTACAATAATCACCCTTGCGCTGCGGAGGGGAAGGCATCAGGTTCGCATTCCTCGTCGTCCGCAGCGGCGAGGGAGAATGGGGAGCGTAGTACGCCCGAGCGTGCGCCCGCCCGTAGGTATTGTCGTGACTGGGAGAGTTTGAGAAAGTCGGGTGGCGGGACTTTTGAGAGGTCGAGGGCAGGAAAAGGTTGGACTGCTGCTGCGGTGGAGAAGAAAGGAAGAACATCCTCTTTCCGTCTTCCCTGTGTCGTTCTTCTCTATCTGTCTGGAGTCTCGTGTATTAGCTCTCTGGTGGATGGCCAGAGTCGAGGTTGACGAGAAAGACAGGGTCTGCTTGAGAAATTTGTCCTTGTCTCTGTGAGTGGCTGGTCTCTACAACGGCTGGACGTGCAACGGGCGACTCGAGAACCGAATGACGCGTGAGCGCGACCGTGTTTGCAGACCAGCCATTAGAACATGACTAAGCTACATTTAGAATAGTCAGGTGCTCACACGACTCGCCCGAGAAAAGTACGACAATGAAAAGTTCTCGTACAACTACATCTCCATAGCATACGTAAGCGCTGGCTTGCTTCAATCCTGGGTGAATCCTTCTTTGCATTATGATTATTATTACTGGTAGTAGACGTTGGAGGCTTCGCCTTGCTTTTATGCCAAGATTGACCTCGGACGATCATGAACTCTCAACTCACGCGAATCAACGGTGAAACATTGGAGGGAAAATGCGACACAACAAAAGGAAAAAAGGAAATTTGTATCTCTAGCTAGCCAATGCCTCAGACTACGCCTAGCCCCGATTTCCATATCCTATGTACAGCTTCAAACAAGATAGGACATTGGTGAAAATAAGTGCTGAGCAGCACGAATTATGCCCCCCTAATACATTGGAAGCAGTTTCATTCACTGTAAATTGCCCTCCCGGCCGATCCGGGTGGGTCTTGGTTGGATGGGTTTTGATGTTTGAAAGGATCCACACAAGTTGCGCTCTCTCTCGCTAATAAAAGTCGAAGACCAAGTGCTGTCATAACGATCGTCAAGGTATTAGTTTGGTAGCTCGCGGCTTCTAAAAGTTTGACGCGGTGTTGACAGGTCCGGGAGAATGGTATTGATCCAGCGTGGAACGGAACGGCGTAGAATCAGACCCTGTGGTGCCGCTGAGTTTGTCTTGGTTGAGATTGGGGTCGTAGAGATCGTCGTCGTGAAGGCTCTTCTTCTTACCCCAAATCCTCCAGGCGGTGTATGCCAATCCAGCAAGCAACAGAGCACCACCAACGCCGCCCACCACACCTCCAATGGTTGCCTTGGCTGTATCGCTGAGACCCGAACTGCCGCCTTTGCCGCCTCCACCCGTCAGGGAAGCGGGATCAACACTGGTTGTGACTGGAACAAGGCTGCTACCGGTGCTGGTAAGATGGACGGTGCTCCCTTCGCTGACACTTGTGATTGTGGTAATGACCTCTTGGAGCGAGCTTGTAGTAATCAAAGTCCTTGATGGAGTAAATGTGCTAGTCTCCGTGGAGGTGGACTGGTCCGAAGTGCTGTCATCGTCAGAGGAGGAAGAGGAGGAAGGAGTACGTGTGGATGTCGACGTGATCACAGTCACCGAGGACGATGAGGTTGGGGGAAGGGTGATTGTAGAGGATGTGGTCTCCGTGGTGGCAGAGGTGGTATCGCTCGTAACAGTAGTAGTGGTCGAGTCGTCGTCGTCGCTACTGGTCGGAGAGGTAGTTGGAGTGGTGGAACTGCTGGTGTCGGAACTGCCAGTAGACAATGGGACATTTTGTCGTTTGAAGAGTGCTATAGCATCGTCGAGAGGATCTGCTGAAACGGCGGATGCACAGAGCAAGCTGAAAAAGACTACGGTGAGAGACCGCATCTTGTTGAGAAGATAAGAAGCAAGGGGGGGTTCGGATTCGAGGTACGAAAATGTTGAAACAATTGAGACCCGGCCTGGGAAGGCTTGAGGGCGCGAAGAGAGTGCGTCGGTGTCAAAGCTGTTAAGATATTTCCTCGAAGGCGAGTCAGGGCCGCGAACGAAGGGCCTGATCCTGGTGATGATCGAGGTAGCGAGAGGCACGTGTGCTTGGTGAGGGTTGGAAATTCGGTTCTACAAGAGTCAACGCAGGCGAGACGCTGATTGACGCTTGGTATTGGACAGATGATGGATGTTTAAGAAAAAAGCGATGGTAATAAGACAAAGGGGGGACAAAGCGAGGGAAATATGGGGGTATGTGGTGTTTGAAAGGTGAGAAAGGAGGAGAATGTAAAAAAGAGAAAAAGTGGACAGTGTCAGGTGTGAATAAGTGATGGAGTGAGTGAATGAGGGAGTTGAATATTGAATCAAGAAAGCGTACTCGGTAAAAGCAGTAGGATGAATGGATGAATTGAGAGGGTTGCAATTCTCTAGGCGCAGTGTGGGAAAGAGAGACGAAACACTGCAGGGATCGCCCCAGAAGCCCAGCCAAAGGCCCAGCGGGATCCTCATAGGGTGTCACCGGGGGGAGCCTAGCAGAGCTTAGTGGCAGCCCAGGCGGTGCAATTGAATGGGCAATAATTGGCGCACTGCCCCCCGACGCAGGAACAGGGTTGGGCGTGTTTGCACCAATTGCATGCCTGGCTCGACTCCCCCATGGATCCCTGCAGTGCCTCAAGTTTCTTTGCATCCGAGCAAACCTGGAACCCAACAAACAATCTTCTCCCATTGTTCCCGCCTGTGCATCATAGTCACCTCTTCCGTGCCGAGCATTAGCCATTTATTTACTACTCCGTACGAGTTTTGCACATCCCTGGGCGCGCCAGTGCGCGCTTGTCCCATGGTTGCCCATCCAGTGCCCAACGTGCCTATCCCCAAGGAGAAGGGCTGGTGAAGATTTCTTTGGGATGACGTACCCCTACCGACTACCGAGGACGCTTGCGTCGACTTCATGCATTGCACCAACTCTTCCCGCTGCAGCTCGCGTGTGGTTAGGACGAACGTGAAAAGAGGAGGAGAAGACCAAGACCCGACTATGCACATTCAAGTCGCAAGAGGGTTCTCAAAATGTCATGCGTTACCGAGACGTGGGCGGAAGAGAGAAGGAAAAAAACTGCTCGTATCTGCATCTGTCACGCACACACAAGGCACCATGCATGCGCATTCCGGGTGGCGTCTGTTACAGCGAATGGTGCGAGGTACCATACCTAGTAGTTGTACCAACAAAACAAGTAGTAGTTGCCGTTGGTCGACTTAGGCGAGAATCTCGGACATTATTTCGCTTATGAGACAGATGGTGATTGTGTTGTGTATATACACAGTAATCAATGACCACATCAAGGAGTCAGCTGGCATTGCCCACGGATGGGAATTGCTTTGAAAGAGAATCGAGGTTTGGGTGATGCACAGCAGTTCGTTGCCTAACCCGCGACAGATATACGACAAATCTTACTCAGATTCGAGGGCGAGATGGTCTCGATGACTTCTTCCCAGTGACATGATCCGGCTCCCAGCATCCTCCGCCTCCCGCCCCCTTGCCACATGATTTAGATTTTTGTATTACCTGTTCCATAGTTTGCGCCACATGATACTGATCATTTTTGTTTTGTGAACAAAGAACAGGACAAGAACGCCATAGCAGAACTGACCGTACCCGATCCCCTCGTATGTCTGCCCTGAGACCCATACATGGAGAGCGCCGTCCTGCTCAGAAATGGACCCCGCGAATATATCTCTTTATGCCGGGAAATTACACTTTTGCATGGTAGTATGTGCACCACTTCCTGGATACTTCTCCCTTTTTCATATTACTGCATGCTCTGGCGACTCCGCATTATCCTCCTCTTTTATCTTGTATAGGTGGAACTGGATGAAGATGGTGATGTCCTCGACCATGGTTCCCAAACTGCCAATCAACCAAGGCAGATTCTTGATGACATATTTATGTTCGGTCGAGTGGCAGAGGATGCCTGCGCCGTAGGTAAGGTTGCCCATCAGTGACAGGATAAAGAACAGCAGCGAGAGACCTGCGGAGAAGTTGACGAATCGGGGAATATTAGCCATTAAAAATCCCAGGGTCAAATGTCAAATGGACTACACAGACAAAAATCTCTTTCTTGTTGAGCTGTTCAGAACGAGTTGGGGGAGAGTGGTGGGAGGAAGTCTTTTTTGGTTCTTTACCTTCGCAACTTCTATCCCTCGCATTCTTGATGATCTGGGGGATCCTGGCGCCTAGGTAGGCCACCGCGCTGAGGTACCCAAGCACCTGGGCACCGGCGGCCATCTCTTCTGAATCGGCACCGCCCGACGTAGGAGAGGGCTTCCACGCGCCGGACTCGTAGGCTAGAGCCCACCCAGCGGCGCCGACGACGCCAATGGCCAACACGCTCATTGCGTTTCTGAACCAGAGCCTTGTGCCGGAGTCGTCGCTTTCCTCAAGGATTTTGGCCAGCTGGTCGTGGTGGGCGGCGGCAAAGCTGCTCCGTCGGCGTCGTAGACTCACACTGCTCCGCCTCCGGTCCATCGATCCCGGGATTGTGATGCTGTTTGTGCGGGTGCGCTTGAGGAGGGGTTCCTCCTCCGAACTCCCGTGCCTCGACTGCTCGCCGTCGGCAGCACCGCTAGGAGCGGCACCCGTCTCGCCATCAGCTCCCGTAGGAGCAGCGGCGGCGGCACCACTGCTACTTGAAGCCGACGCCCGTGTAGAGAGCAGTGCCCGCGCTTCCCTCCTCTTGTTCCTGATGCCATAGTAGAGGCATTGCCCAATGAGCACGCCGTCCGCGATGCAAAAGTAGACGCCGATGGCGACCACGACGGGGACGAGCCCGGCCCACAGGGCGCCGGCGAGGTTTGCAATGTCGCCCAGGAACCAGACGAAGATGAAGAGGAGGGAGATGGCCTCAGCAGAGCCGTTGCGGTAGTTTTCGATCAGCTGCGGCACGAGCAGGAATATCCAGCAGGCCAGCGAGATGGACCCAAATATGCCCGAGAAGGCTTCGCGGGTGGTGAGGGGGAGGTCGCCGTTGGTGGAAGGGGAGCTCGATAAAAAGCTGACGAGCGACGCCATTGTTGAGTGAGGAGTTTGGGCCGATGCGTAGAGACCCAGTGCACGCCCTTAAAAGATCATGGGTTTCTTCAGCGCAAAAGTTCAGAGAGTATGTATGAAGCTGCAAAATTGGTGCTTGAGGCACAAGTACAGGCTCCATCTGCTCATCCACCACTGGAGCCACTAGCTAATCGCAAACCTTTAGGGGTGGAGTTGGGCGGCCGCTGCAGGGAATGTTGCCCCTGCCCTGGTGGCGCTGTTGGTGGTCATGGTGGGTGGTTTTCAATAATACTTGGTGCTTCCTGATCCTGCTCATCAACTACTCGTACATACGGAGAAACTCTCTCCAGCCTGTCTCCCTGTACATTTCCCCAGAATAACATACATCATCTTGCAGCCACCAAGCGACCAACTGGCTCTAGTCTGTCCAACATCAACCTCATACACATAATTACAAGCACAGCCTCTCGACTATCCTACATCCTTGTATACTCGACTGACATGTCAACGTCTTCCCCTTCCTCCTACCATTCAATTAAAATTCCAGCCTGTATCAACAGACATATACCACCAAGCACCAGCCGCCTGTGTGAAAACGTTTCCGTGAAGTTGGCTTCAGTTTGAGACGCCGATCTGCTCCCACAAGATCTTCTATGCAGCAACAATAAGTTGCTTTACCGGATCACTTCCGCCTTCACAGCCTTGCCATCCTTCATCGTGAATCGTAAAACCGTCCCGGTCCTCCTTGTTACTCCTTTGTTGCCTGCCACATCATGCCCACCACCACGACGGTTGCGTGGCTTCATATGTGGTTTGGCGCGTTTCAATATCTTCCTTTGAGTACTTGGCTTACAGCAGGTTGCGGTGGTTTGTCGTGAGGAGGAAGATGGAAGCTTGATTCTGAGGATGATCCGGGGTCTGGGTTGTTTGGTCTTGCTGCTGCCTATCCGCACTGTGAGTTGACGTTGTGACAAAGCCTTCGAATCCGGCAGTGATGAGCACGAACTTCTCAGGTTTCTATTGGCACCCATCTTCGACTTTGATGTGGAATGTTGTCGTTGTGTGTGATTCGTGCCAAGTTTAACAGGCTTGAGTTGGATCTGAGTTGTTGTGGGCTTGGTACTGATTTCAGTTGTACCCAGAGAAATGAATGGTGAGAGGCGAAAAGCTGGTGTATCTGAATGAGGTGCACTTGCGATACCGAGCGTCTTGCACTTGGACTGGCTTGCCCTTCGCTTTTATAAGTAATCAATCCCGATGTCGAACTGAGAGTTCAAATTATACGCTGAGGATCTGTGAGGATCTGTGAGGACCTGCGTGAGGACCTCCTAGAACCCCGGCAAGAGCTTTGTTTGCCGAACGACCAGATAAATTGTTTGATGCGATGCATGTCGTGTGGTTGGCAACATGCCCCTGAAGCGGCTTGTTTGTCTCGGTCACGGGTTCCGATGTTCTTTGTTTGGCATACTCCCTCCATCATCAAGCAGTGAATAAAGACGGGATCGTGATAGATGACGGAACTGGCTGTATTCATGAAACTGAGAGCTCAGGCCCAGGCCTGCCAGGAGCACATGCTCTAGACGCACCCAAGACAACAGGGACGAGCCGATCCGAGAACCAGACGGGTACTTCATGTAGGCCCATAATTCCGCATGCTGCGGTTAGCCTTCCTGGTTTGCTGCAAAGCAATCCTGCCACTCATTTGCCGGAGTTGTTGAGCAAATAGACCCATGGCTTTTACCAACCAACAATACTGGCCATTTTCGTGGACTCTGTTGCCTAATCTGGACATGTGTCGCCATGTTTCATTCCCAGCCTTTTGCTTTGCGTTAGACTGAGAGATGGAGTCGTTGCTTTA